TGAATGATGACTGTTTTCAACATCAGACTTGTCCTTGGAGCAGGAGTGAGTGGAGGATGATTTCAGAATGTTGCGCACAAACAAAAAACAAAATGTAACCAACTCAGGCACCAAACTCTTGTCTTGTCTCCTACATAAAGTTCGTCTGAGTCTGCATGTCACCTTTCAGACATTTTAGGAATCTCTGGTCTGTGAGAGAGATCATGCTGTTTTATTGTGTTTATCCAGTTACACACACACTCTCTTTCTCTATCTGTGTTTTCTACCTCTCTCGTCCCACCATCTGGAATAGTTGTCCCATATTTTTCTTTCTCTCTTTCTGCTGCCGTGGTTGTTTTCTCCGGTCAGGGCCTCTATCTCACTCTGCTGAATAAGCACCATTTTATGTCCTATGCAAGTTATTCATGTACACACACACACACACACACACACACACACACACACACACACACACACACACATACACAGAGAGGATATGTCATGCACTGTGAGCAATTATGAAAAACAAATGGCTTCCTAACAGGTTACAGTTGCAGCTCTAAAACGTTGTCTGCTGGCAGTTGTTTCTCTCTTAACCACAAAGGATTAATGTGGCAAATGTGTGAAACAGTCTCTCTCTGATGTTGAAACGAAAGCATGGGGGCCTGCAACAGTTGAGGAAGAAAGCAGGTCAAACATCACACTGAACCATGAAATATAAAGGAATAACATGCACATGTACACATGCTAATGAATGCAGCTTCGTCCTTTCAGGCATGGATTGATGTACACACACACCCAGATTATTACAGCAAAGCTCTGCTGTAGTTCCCAAAGGAGAACCCGTGGCTATTTTTGGCAGTGTGGAGGACTTAATACTCAGCGAGAGAGAGGGAGTTTATAGAAAAGGGATTGAATAACATAGGCGATCCCATACACTGAAGGAGAACCAGGATTATTTTTGGTATGTTCATTGGCATGATGGCATGGTAAGACAAATCAGATTTTTAAAGAAATAGTTTGACCCTTTGGGAAATACACTTGTTTGAATTTTGACAAAGAGTTTGATGAGCAAATGGACATCCGCGCTCAAGTCTATTGAGACATTTGTGGATACAGCCAGCAGCTGATATTTTCGACAGTGTGGGGAAACATTTAGATCTCTGTTTGAAGGTAAAAAACATCCACCTACAAGCAGTTTTAAAGCTCAATAAATATAACATGTTACAGCTTGTTTGTTACTGTATAAAAATCAAGTGTAAAAATGACAATAAACAAATACAGATATACAGACAGAAGAGTGGTCAACAAAATCTCAACACAAAAACGAATAAGTGCATTTCACTTTTCCTCTAAGGTTGGATGATTGAGATTATACGACATAGCAGTGCCCTGCTCGTGAACATTTGTCCCATTCTGGAAGAAAAAACACATTTAATAGTTCAAAGTCTGCTTCCCAGCTCTCAGTCAGTGCAGAGTTCCTCTGGTAATCATTATGGAGACAGTGTCCAGCTGTCAGAACCACAGAATTCAGTTTTATTGTAGCCTGTGCTTTCACAAAATAATATGCTTCAGGAGCTTCTGCAATTTTAATGCAAAAAGCGCTTTAATTTTGACCAGCAGCGCACTGTACAGCTGGATCTATTGGCCAGGGGTAATGCTGAGAAACCATTTATCTCAGAGATGAAAGGAATCCTGGCAATGAGAACTCTGCACACACAAAGTCAAACGTGTTCTTCTGCCTGTGACCTTGAAGGAAACTCAAAAAAGCAATAAGATGAAAAGAACATAAAACGAAGACAAATGATGGGGAACCGTGTGACAAAAGCAGGAGAGAAAAAAGCAGAGGTGTACAGTATAGGTGAGAAGGAGGGAAGAAAGAAGGGGGGGGGGGCAAAGCAGCACAGCTGCCCTATAAAGAGCACGAGCCGCTTTTTTCGTTTCCCCCTCATGCTGCTCTCGCCGCATCCACGTGAGAGAGGAGGGGAAGGAGGGAGGAGACAGGGAGGTTGGGAGGAGGAACGTGAAGAGGATCAGGACCGATGAACACCGCTGCAAGGCTATCATGCTCCATCCTTTTGCCCAAAAATCCAGCTTCACCAGTTGTTCAGTCAAATATTTAGTTGTGATATGTGATTAAAAGCAAGTAAAAGAGAAATACCACAGAGGATGAAAGAAATATCATTTGTTGTTGCTATTGTTATTAAGAGTTGTATAAAACATCTTTACCACCATTTGGACCTTTAGGGAAAAAAAACTATAAAAATACAAGAAAAAACACAAGATAAGAAGTAAATGTTGTCATAAATATCATTACAAATGTAGACAAACCGCGCATTTACATCAAATATACCATCCAGTTCCACCAGTATCAAAGACATTCATTTTTCTTGTTTTTTTAAAAATATACTAACAAGAGACAAGAAAAGTGACAAGTGACAGAAAAAGAGGGTTGCGCAGATGGACACACACACCTACTCTCACACACATATATACGCAAACACATGCTTGGACTCAGGGTTTAAGCTGGTTTGGTGATTTTCTTGTCTAATGAGTTGGAGATAGAAATAAATCTGTTATGTGAGGTTTCTGGCTGTAGGAAAGGGGAAATTCCACTACTTCAGCCATGTTTCAGTCGCAAAGAAACCTTGCGGGATCAATCATCCTTGTGCAGAGTCCATCCACATCATGTAGTTTAAACTAAAAAAGGATGTGGAGGGAATTCATCATACTGTGCATCTGGACCAAAGGCAAACATTTTGCTAATATATTCTCAGGTATTGGGTTCAAAAGTTCAAAATAATGCATCTTATAATGTGACCCAGACTGAATCTGCACGTTACTCCAATTGGAAATAACCCGTACGGTAAGAAGCAGTCTCACAATGATTCATAACCTCAGTAGTCATGCAAGTAGTTATTTTGTTGGAGTAGGCTTTTGCTTCAAGGAAATGGTTGATGTCTCATTTAGAAGCTTCTTCTAAAACCAGCCACAAAGAGGAACTAGGTCTCTGAATATTTAAGAAATTTATTATTTCTTAAAGTGTTCAGTTTGGCTATGAGAACAAATGTGAATCAGAAAGTGTTGGGTAATCACAGTTACCCCTTAGAAAGAAACACGTGTTATAGTCAGCTGCTTGTCTCTGCGTGTGAGTGTGCGAGAGACCGGTATGGGATTTTTCACCAGAGCTATATCGGTATATCTGTGTTACGGACACTGGTGTCTGACTTAATTGAAATTGCCCACCAAATAAGCTTTTATTTAATATTTTAGATAAAAGTGGAAGAATGGCCTTGAGTTTCTTTATTCCATGGGAAAAAACATTTAATCATTTTGAGTTTTTAATATAAATTCTGAATTTGATTATCAACACTGCTTTTGCTCATTCTTTTAAAATGTAATTAAAGTCCTTAAATTATATATTTTGGTATATCCTTTGTTTGACATAATACATTAGACATATTAAGTACAAGTGTTAATATTATTATTAATGATGCCTCTGTTCTATTGAAGTGTACCAGTAAGACATTACAGTGTGACGGTGAGTCAGGGCCCTGAAAAATGTCCTCTGGACTATTGTGATAGGAGAATTAAAGGCTGTTTCTCACTTCACCTGATGATGGTCTTGATGACGACTGAGTCACAGTTTCATCATTATGTGGATACACCTGCACAGTTATAAATATCAAGTGCAACTAATCAAGCATTAAGTCTCAGCACTGATTTCCTGAATCTGCTAGTAGGATGATCATTAATTTCTAACAGAACAGTTTCAACAGTTTCTCTTTCTGTTCAATTTGCACTTCACCTTCTAACTGCGTCTTATTCCCGGTAATGTCGCGCTGGCAGCATTTCCCATCATTCTTGTTTATGTATGAAAGCCACAGTATTCTCTGTCTGGTCTAGTCTGAGCCATTTCTATCTCAGAGGGGCATTGTGTCCTCCCTCTGTGAAGGACAATGTTCCAGCGTAAGTGTGTATAAAACTGTGCACGTGTTTAAATGTGTGCATTCTGTGTGTCCTTTCTTTTATTTGTGGGTGTACTCAAGTATGCGTGTGCGTCTGTTCACTGGTGTCCATGGCTGTTACATAATGACGTTTTACCAAAGTCACCATGAAGGTCTGCATCTGTGAAGTGACTCATCCTCATCTCCTTGGACAGCAGCAGCAGAAAAGATAGACGCCAGCGCCATCTACTGCACAGCCTGTAGAAAAGCACTTCTACAAGACAATACACATCTGTTTATTATTTACATTTGTGAACTTATTTTGTGCTTTCCCCTCTACTACATACATGTCTGCCAATATATTGCTTCATATACCACACTCCTCAAGATATGAGGAGGCAGTTGTCTGAACTGAAATATGGGAAAATCACATTGGGAAAAGTGGATGTATAATGCTCTGCCCATTCATTATTACCATTCAGATGTTTCTAGATGGACGGATAGTCAAATCCACTACTAAAGCAAAAGCAGTGAGTTATACAAGTGAGCCACAAAAAGAGTCAAAGTTCTCCTGTCTTATGCAGATAGTTTCAGTAAAGAAACCACAATAACCATACAACATGATTAATCTTGAAACCAGACAGACGGACATTTAAATACAATTCACCATCAATTGATCCTTTGATCACAAACGATTGTTTACCATCAGTTGATCATTGACAAAGAGACTGGAGGTATTTAGATCACTTATTTCTCTGATTTCATTTAAGAGAATACATTATAGGGATTTTCCAGATAAAAATACTCAAGTTGTGAGAAAAATGGGTCTAACGCATCTTCAATTACTGATTTCTTATAGTGAACAGGACATCAGTGGCTACTTGCAGAGTGAAGGATTTGAGAGCAAAACTAGGCACATTGTGTTGACTATAACAAGAGTTAACACTTGTTTTGGGAGGGAGCTCTGGTGAAGGCTCATTCAGAGTTAGCAGTACATTGTTTTGCTTACAGTAAGGAAATGTTGCCCAAGTTTTCAGCTTCAGAAAGCAGCAGTGATCAAGCTTGCAGTCTGTGTGTGTTTCTGTGTTTATTTGTTGAAAAGGGTATTCACAAATTATACTGCATTCACGATCAGAAAGTGCAGCTTCTGGGTTGTGTTCAGTACATTTGTAAAAACAATGATTCTGTTTATATCTTTCATTATTTTTAGCAATATGGTCCGGTCAAAATAGGTTTCTTCCGAAACTGATATGTCACTAAAATATCCACATATTGATTTGAACTTCATATTGTGCACCACATCAACTGTTACTACAACAGTAAACACACGTTACCATTAAATGCTGTGAAAAATGTCATAATTGAGTCAATGGAGAATGACTCAAAAATCTTAAAACTGCTGAGATATATTGTTTTCACTGTTCGTGTTGTCCAACTTTTAGGGGCCATACACAACACACAGCGTACTGTATATACTACAAACTATACTCTGGACAGTAAATTAATATGCTATTTACACTTTCAAATAGTCTCCTCTTAACTTGCATTTGCAGAATTAAACTGTGACAGGAAATAAATGAAAAGAATTATCTCCAGGAGCTCCAGGGCAAACTGAGTTTTGTGAGTAGGTTAAAATCAGTAAATAGTCTATTGGACTTGGATTCCAAGTTTATCTTATATGAGGTTTATCATTTATTTAGAATACCATTCCCAATATGGTGCATCAAGTGAAATCTTTTTTTATCATCTTTTAAGACATTTTTTGAATGTCGATATGTTTCTGTCATGTTTGTTGTTTCAGATAGAACCTGAAATGAAGCTGCACCAGCTAACTCACTGTTATATGTTGTTATATTGGCAAACAATGTTCAGTAGCAATTACAATATGAGTATATAACACTTAAATAAAATGTTTTGGGTCAACTGTTCTTTCAGGTTAGGTGGTACATATTAACATATGGACCTGTGGATACTGTATATTACTGTCTGTAAATAATCAGTTTATCAAATATAAAAAAAACGGTCTCAATGAAGGCCAGACTTGATGTAGCTATGTAAGGGAGGCACCTTCCTCATATGAACAATGGATGATGCTGAAGAAAGTTCAGTAGAGTAATGTTTGAGTGCTTAATGAAACTGCATTTTAAGTCATTAAAATTCAAACTCTTAAGTGAACATGTTGAGTTCTGCAGTGATGAATACTCAAAAGGATAGCGCATATTGTAATCTTCTCCCTTCTCTTCTTCTTACACCTCTGAACACCTCATATCCATGAGCCAAAAGAAGACCATGCATGTGTTTAGTATTATCTACATGTAGCAGGGTCGTTCTATCGCTCTCACTTACATCTGCCTCCCTTCAGATTAGCTGTCACTTTCCATGTGGGGAAAAACGTCAACATCGCAACACAACAGTCTATTCAGTTTCAGTTTTAATTTCTGGGCACACTGTGTCCCGTGACACACAAACCGGACACTGCTGCCCATCGCCAAACTCAACCTCATACACAATATGCTCAATGCGGCACCGTAGCAGCCGCTTCTTCGCTGGGGGAAGTCTCTTCAGAGTTTCCGCCAGGCTGCATCCAAAGTAGTCATCCTCGTCTTGACGGGCGGTAAGTGAGCTCATCACCTGGGCCTCAAATTCAGAGAGCTCTGAGTTTTCTCTCCTGGGGCGAGAAAGTCGGCTCCTCCCATGCAGGGTCTGTGAAGGACCAGGTGTGGGTGTGTGGGGGCGCTCGGAGGGCATGCTGGGTCCTGGTGTGAGCCTGCAGTTCTCCTCAGGTGTCACTGGGTGTATCGCAAGGCTGACCGCAGCGCTGCAGGAGGGCACCTCAGCTGCAGGAGGGCTTGGCTCAGAAGCCGAGGGACTGTCCGTTTCAGAACTTGTGTCGTGCCCCGTGTTGGAGCATGCCGACCTCCCCAGGACGTAGGGCTCGAGGAACTGAAGCAGCGGCATGAATTTCCACGTCCTCTTGGGCTCTGCTGCCAATCCGCTTCGCCTCTCCTTCTCAGCGATGCGCTCCTTTCTGTATTTGTCTCGGAGATTCCTCCACTTCTTCTTAGCTTCCTCTTCTACATGCGCAACAAAACCAAAAAGACAAATTAGCCTAAAGGTACATCCCTTGTCACCAAGTCAGAGTTTAAAAATCTATTTACTTTTCTCATAAGTAGGCGAGCTAAAAGGGACCTGTGGTATGTAGAGCTCAGCGACAAACACCGCCAAATCAGAGGAAAATCTGTGCCTGTCTGAGAGCACACAAGGGCTTCTCACCAGCAGCAGACAGTAAAGAGCGAACCGGGTAGTTACTTTGGTGGCGGCCGGACAAACTGATCAAACACTGTCACACACACACACACACACTATAGACAGTGAATCCACAGCGTAATGAGTCTGTGTTCAGTTCAGCGTGTATCTGATCCACCAACCAGCACTTATTTTATCAAGAAATCTTAATTGTTGAAACAATCTTCCTCTCATTCCCACGGTCCTCTCCCACTGAAAGAGTGCAGCTACAGCAGAGCCTGAGTGAGTTGAAGCAACAAAAAGTAAAGTTTGTGCTGAATAGTTTATCTTTATGGACTATATTGATGCCAAATTGACAAGAAGACTGTGGCCATATGAGGTACTTTAGGTTGTGTTTCTTTAGTTTAGTTTAATTTTATATTTTTTAAAAGGGACTTTGGAGCTAGTGTGAAACCCACAAGTTCAACACAAGACACTAAGATAATTGTGTAGTACAATAGAGTGATCTGACTTTAAAGTCATGTAGTATGTCCCATGACTTACACTACTCACACAAAGTTAGGATGAAATTTCAGAATGTACATAAAATGCACTATAACCTTTCCAGGTGATCTTAATTTGAACTTCTCTACTGAAATGCCCTACTTTCATGATATAATATCACTGTAGCAGCAACTTTTTACATCTTCCAGAAATTTCACCCGAAAGTGGAATATCCCTAACTTTTTGTGAGCAGTGTAAGTATGATGTGTTTTAAGCTGTTGTGGAAACACAGTGAAACCATTGTTGTGGTTAGCATTTAGCCATGTTGCTCACGACAGATACAAAACACTTTTACTGTAAACAGGAGGCTTATCATTACAGTAGGAAGAAAACAGGTGCACAAGGGCATAACGGAGTCAGTACACGTGAGACATAAGGTTACACTCCGTTGTGTTGTGGTCATTCGTGCTGCTAGTATTTGGCAGCCATGCTGACTGTAGCACGGGTAGAAACACTAACCAGAAATCCCAACTTGAGGAGCGATACAACGCCAAGCGACTGCGCGCCAATGGACGTCTTTGTGCTCCCTCATGGCGGGGTTGTACAGCTCCGGGAAGGTCTTCACGGCGGCGATCAGTCTCTCCTCCATCTTCATGGTTGCAACCTTGCGACTCGGTAAACAGAGGAATGCTACAGTGAAAATGTTCTTCCGTCTTCCGGTGGAAGAGACAGACGGCTTCCGTGATTGGCCACCGCAGCGTGACGTCAGGCAACTTTTTTGACAGATATATATTTAATATTTGTTTTTAGAGTTTTGCGTTTTTAATAGTTGTCAAATACGTTTAAAATCACTATCTACAAAAGTATAAAAGCAGGGCATTCTTTTAAGAATGATTTTAATCAAGTTCATTATGTAAATTTCATCTGCCATAATGAGAGGAATGTGTTTTGATAGTGAAAGGTTCTTTTGATAATCAAACTAGAAATAACTTCTTCTCTCAGGCTGTAAGATTAGTACATTTTTCCTCAACAATTCATCATACAAATTAATATTTTATTTTAAGTTTTTATGACTTGTTAATCAATTTTTGTTTTGTTTTTAAAAGTTGCATAAAGAGAACTATATCTAAATTGAATTGAGTGTTGTTCATATATAGTATTAGTGTTGAAAGTTAATTGAGATTAACCTTGAATCCTTGAAAAGTGTTGTTCCACAAAACACAATCATGAGGAGAATAATTATTATCCAACACAATACAATTTGTTAATGAAAGTTAGCAAGTTTTACAGGGAGTTTTCCAACAGAGTTAGGACAATAGAAAAGTTAGACCTTTAAAAGTAATTGGGGGAAATATTCCATATTCCAATTCTTCATATTCTTTTAATCCAGTTAATAATTTGGTGAAATACTGTTCATCTATTGATGAGAACATATAAGAAGCTCTTGACATCCTTTCTGCTTTAACATATAGATAAGTCCCTGGCTAACCAGCAGTTAGACCTTTTTTTAATTGCTTCAGTAACAGGGAGAAGATTATTATCCATAACTTTAATTCCAATAAAATACAGATTTCAGCAAGACCAATGTTATTAAGGGATATAATTTCACATGTTTAAACCTGATACTTCAGACAGTCTAGATATATCAGATAGAGCTGAAATAACTTCTTTCTAAAGGTGCTACAAAGACATGAGCTAAAAAGACAAATCACCGAAGTAAAAAATTGTTTGTGTAATTACAAATAATTTGAATTCTTATTTTCTCAGTATTAATGCCTCTATCTTACTGACTACAGTAGTGCTTCTAACGCTTCAAAATAAATGAATACACAAATAAATGAAAAATGTGTTAGTCACTGGAGCAGAATTAAGACTCTTCTTAGACTCTTACATCGAGTCACAGAGATTATTTTTGTTCCATAGAGCAAAGAATCGAACTTTTTCACTGATGCAGTTGGGCCAGTAGGCCCATTGCAACACAAATGCTATGAGTAATAAATTTCTTTAAAGATACATGAAGTTCAGCCTATTACCAGGAGTATATTACTTATTTTGCTAATTAACATGCAGCCTAATAATAGCATATACTTTGTCATCTTCCTAGTAACCTGTTCCCAGTGTGAAGGAGGAAAGCAAAGAAAAGGCAGGATGAAATAAAAACATGACTTTAGCCGCAGTAGCTGAGTCTCTGTGCACATCTGGAGGTTCTTATGAACTGTCACCTGATAGAGAAGTGTGTCCCCATCACCCTAAAACAGATATTCCATAACTTCAGTCGAATAAGTACAGTTACAGTAAAAATAAAGCTAACTGAATCAGAATGGTTTAAACTGGTCTTCACTTGGATTTTATTTATTACAGCTAAAACTTATTTTTCTGGCTGCAGAAGGACATTTATGCCACCATATATTTTTTTTTCCCAATGAGCACCTGTCAGAATATGCATCCAGTGAGAGTAACAAGTGATAAGTGAATGAGCTTCTCATTGTGAGCCAATGTGAGTGAATAAAAGAGGTGTTTTTTTACATTCCAGGACATTTTTTTGAAAAATATTTTCCAAAAATAATTAATTGGAACTATATTTTACAACACTACAACAGTACAGCACAGATGTATTCATCTGGCCAACTTATTTTAGCTATTGATATACTGCAGCTATACAACCATCTTGTTTCAATGTTTTCTTGAATTAATATTTAATCTTTATTTTCAAGTAAGTAATCTGTGTTATTCAACTTATACATTTCTTTAAAGATACATGAAGTTCAGCCTATTACCAGGAGTATATTACTTATTTTGCTAATTAGCATGCAGCCTAATAATAGCATATACTTTGTCATCTTCCTAGTAACCTGTTCCCAGTGTGAAGGAGGAAAGCAAAGAAAAGGCAGGATGAATTCCTCCCTGCAGTATCCTTTCCTATCAGCAGAGGCCCTCAGCTCCTGGTTCAGAGTATTTTACCAAACTGACATGACCTTAACATCTAACTTAAATGTCCTGAAAATGGAAATAGAAACTAATTTCATTTATTGCACCGTAACAGGACATTTATTCCCAGTCACTTCTCAGTACAGTGAGTGGACAGGCTGTTAGGGTTCACATCCTCTTATCTAACTCTCAGACCACGAGACCTTCAGCTACATAGAGGAAAAGACTTCTGCTTTGAAACAGCAAGTGTGAAAAACAAGGTTCAGCTGCTGTACACTCATTCCACACTCATTCATTTGCAAAAAAATGCTTTTTTCATATTTCTGAAGAAAGCCTTTCTTCCACAACACTACTTAGGTGAACTGAAACCAGTCCTGTTTCTTTTTCTCAGGGCCTTAAGTATTTTCAAACTACACTTTAAAAAAGTAAAGAAATGAAATCCAGTGTTTTCACTTTCATATTATAATTAGTTCTGCATGTTTTAAAGTAAAGAGGAATTACCGTCATGAGCTTTCAGTCATTCACTGAGGCAGGGCAAAAATAATGCAAGAACACACTATTTGTTCACTCATACTCAGGGGTATTATAGCCCCATGACATGTGTTAGACAATACGATAATATCCTTTTATAGTTACATCATTAAATAGTTTTCTTTTTTTAATATAAGTTCACGTCATGCAGCTGTAAATGACTTCAATAGAAAAATGGTCAATTCTATTTTATGACACTGTAGATGCAAATATGATATGATAAGTTTTCAAAAGCTACCCTGAATAATACAGTACTTCTAAATAACATTCCTCACAGCACTTTGCAGAAAACAACTGTGTGGCATTTGAGATTTTCTTTTTGCTTTTGTTGAAACAACAGAGAAGACCTTTTCCATGTATTGCATCTCTGTGTGTTCAGTGTGTACAGCGTACAGCAGATGTGTGGCAAGTAAGGAACAGTGACCTCTAGTGAAATAAATATGTAATAATATAGACATTGATAAAAGACTGAGGATTACATTTGTAAATGTAGTAGGAGTTCAGGGTGTGAGAGGCTTTGAAACAGAATATGTGGTAAAATAGTGGCCTGGCGTTATTGTTACCGTCTTTAAACATGGTCACTGGTTTATGAGTTTAATCTTATATAAGAGAAAAAGAAAACTTGGTTACTGGTTTTACGAGACACAACTAGAATGTTTAGTTATATCCCAGTTACTGCACATTCAAAGGACGAACTTGTTGTCCCATTTCAAAAAGTTCTTAAATTTCAGCCAAGACTTGCAGCTTTCTTTTGCCCAAATTTAGAGAACACAACTGAAATTCACCAGACTGAACTCCATTGCCGGAGCCAACTGATGGGCTTGGGAATTTGTGTGAATGACACTGTCAGTACTGTTATGGTTCCCTCAAAGTCCCACTGTGCCAGCACTGCTGCTCATTAGTCGGCTGTAAAAGAATATGGTGTTCCAGGCTTGTGGCTCTGTAAATGTGAAACACAATATTCCTAAAAAAATAAACAACCCTTCTCCTCTTAACAACATGCTGCTGGATAATTATGAGTTTCAAAAACTAATCTGTAGAGGCAGAAGCTGTTATACAGCCACAATTCTTTATTCGTTAAAAAAACATAAAGACACACTACAGGTCATCAAATTCAGTTTTTATTTGATGTAAAAGAAATTTATGACAGACAACATTCATCCATCACAATCGCAATTCTGTGGCTCAGGATACAGAAAAATGTTAGTTTGTTATGTTTTATTGTTATTTCACTGTTGACAGTGAACTAATTAAAAACATTTAAATGAGACATTGTGATCCAGAAGAGTCTAAGTTGTGCTAAATATGTTAAACACAATTGAAAAAACGTACTTTTAGACAGTATCCCGTCCTTTATTGCTGCATCACACTCCAATTTACTCTTGATGTTGGAGAAACAAACATTGTTACAGCACCAGCTTTATGTTTGAAATATGAATTTCTGGACGAAAAATCGAGTTGGGTATCATTTGCTTTAAATCTTGTTGCTGCCAACTTGCGTCCAGATATTATATAATCTATAATTTTATAATGTGTGGACAGAGAAAAACTTGCAGGAGCTGTTTTAGCGGAGGTGTGGGATAAGTAAAACATTTGAAGTTTACTGTTATTATTTAACAAAAAATCTATTTCAACTCTCTTTTTATAGTAAAAATGTGCTGTGGAGCTCAAATTCACCCAGCATTATAGTGATATAATCGTTGATGAACACCAGCGTTTGTTGTGTTTGAATGACATTTTAATGGCAATAAAGGGTGGGGTCCTCATTTGATTTCCAAATGGCTCTCTACATGGCGACCTCTGCTATATTCATCCATCTTTTTAGAGCTCCACAAAACTCATTCAATTTCCATTAAGTTTCTCCAAACAGCTTGTGCAGCATAAGTTGTGTTTTATGGACAAACAACTGCCCTGAGGGTCCAGCAAGCCAATATTTACCTCAGTATCTCCTGCGCTCTGGCAGCCCACAAACCAACAGCAGCAGGTATTCGCTGTAGAAAGCCGAGATGGAGTTGTGAGGAATAACACTGCGTTGTTGCTCCCATAAACTTTCAATGTAGCTTTGCCAGATACGGAGCTAAAAAGATAAGATATATTAAAGTATAAAGAGAGAGATATATATTCTCTAAGGTTTCCTGTATCTGCCTTATGTTGTATTGAAAAAGAAAATATTGCACCTAATGCCTGCATATAAGGTGCATGTGTTTCCTGATATGATAGCAGCATTGCAGCAGATTCCACTGGGTGCTGTGGGG